ATGATAAGAGAGATTGTAGATAGAAGAGAGATTGTAGATGATAAAGAGAGAGATTGTAGATAGAAGAGAGAGAGAGAGAGAGAAAGATTGTAGATAGAAGATAGAGAGATTGTAAATGATAAAGAGAGAGAGATTGTAGATAGAAGACAGAGATTGTAGATGATGAGAGATTGTAGATAGAAGAGAGATTGTAGATGATAAAGAGATTGTAGATAGAAGAGAGAGAGAGAGAGAAAGATTGTAGATAGACGATAGAGAGAAAGAGAGATTGTAAATGATAGAGAGAGAGAGATTGTAGATAGAAGAGAGATTGTAGATGATAGAGAGATTGTAGATAGAAGAGAGAGAGAGAGAGAGAAAGATTGTAGATAGAAGATAGACAGAGAGATTGTAAATGATAAAGAGAGAGAAAGATTGTAGATGGAAGATAAATGACAGACAGACAGAGCAGTAGGTAGGTACCCCGTTTCTCCAACAATACGGCCTCCCCCAATAGGAAGTCCCAGCATGTTTTATAGGCATGAAATGAAATTAAGCCCCGCCCCCCCAAATTAAGGCCTATATTAAAACATGCGAAATGGGGGGGAATGGGGGGGGCCTTGCCATTAGGAAGTACTTTTGTTGCACACCCGGATATGGTGCTGCCTGCGTTGACCCCAATACGAAGTGCCCCACCAACGCCGAGGTCAACATCCAAGCTGTCGCCGCCCGCCCGAAGATGCAAGGGGAAAAAAAAATTAAGTCACCCCCGAAATACAGCCTAGCCATTTTTTCGGGGCTCAAAAAAAAAAAAAAGACCCGGCCTTATTATATGAGAAACACGGTAGATATTGTAGATAGAGATGGAAAGATTGTAGATGGAGGAGAGAGAGATTGTAGATAGACGATAGATATACACTACAATTGTAGCTAGAAGAGAGATTGTAGATAGAAGAGAGAGAGAGAAAAAAAGAGTTTGTAGGTAGAAGAGAGAGAGAGAGAGAGAATGTAGATAGAGATTGTAGATAAATAGAGAGAGTGAAAGCGAACAATAGCACTTATATACTGCTTCACAGTGCTTTACAACCCTAAGCCATTTACAGAGTCAGCATATGTCCCCCAACTATCTGGGTCCTCATTTTACTGACCTCAGAAGGACGGAAGGCTCAAAGCGTCCACCTTGAGCCAGTCAGGATCGAACTCTTGCCAATGGGCATCAGCCTGCAATACCACTTTTTAACCACCGTGTGTCACCAAGGCACCATTGTGCCACCACGGCTTTCGTTCCACAAGTTTCTCCTTACCAGTTCAATGGTCTGGTGCAGCTGGGACAGCGAGTCTTGGGTGCCCTGCTTGGCCCTTTTCAACTTGACCAGGGAGTGTTGGAAGGCCCGGTGGCGAAGTTTGCTGGACAAGGACCCCAGACGCACAAAGTAACTTTTCTGCTCCTTCTGCTGCTCCACCGTGCCAATTTCAAAGCCCTCCACGGAGGTAGCCAGTTTGGCTAGGAAAAGGAGCGATAAAAACCAGGGTTACCCACCAAGCACGCCTAGCCAAACACAAGAGAATCGGGGTTGAACTGCGGGGTTCTTGGTGCTCTTTTGAGCTTGGTGGTTTCCTTGCAGACGTTTCATGACCCAACTAGGGAACATGATCAGGGATAGAAGGGGGTGGGGTTGGAGGAGGAGGAAGACTGTGGGGCCCTTGGTGCTCTCTGAGCTTCATGGTTTTCTTGCAGACGTTTCATGACCCAACTAGGCAACATAATCAGGGATAGAAGGGGGTGGGGTTGGAGAAGGAGAGGAGGAAGAGGAGGAGGAGGAGGAGGAGGAGGGGGAGGAGGAGGAGGAGGAGGAGGAGGAGGAGGAGGAGGAGAATTGTGGGGTGTTTTCTGAGCTTTGTTGTTTTCTGGGAGACATTTAATTTCCCAACCTGGTAACATCCTCAGTGCTAGAAGGAGTGTGGGGTTTCCTTTATGTTTTATATACAGTAGCTTGCCACTACCAACTCAAGACAAACAAGCTAATAATAAACAACAGCCTATTCAAGGAACCACCAAGGCCATCCCCACTCAATATCGACAGGGCAAGCCGCTTTGTATAAAATTACTATTAACCTTCTCATCGCTCCTTATCACCCATCCTCTCTCCCACTTGTGATTGTATGACTGTAACTTTGTCGCTTGTATCCTTACGATCTATATTGACTGTTTCCTAGTATGATTTGATGGCTTATTGTACCCTGTGACTATCATTAAGTGTCAGACCTGATGATTTTTGACTCTTGATGATTTGCACCAAGACAAATTCCTTGTATGTCCAATCACACTTGGCCAATAAAGAGAATTCTAATTTTAATTCTAAACAGAGAGAAATCCCCATGCCATTCTAGCCCTGTTGATGTTACCTAGTTGGGTCATGAAACATCTCCAAGAAAAACACAGAGAGCACCAAGGACCCCGCATAATACGGCTGGCTGGGGGGTATTCTGAGAGTTGAAGTCCACCCCTCTTACGGTGGCCGTCCGAGACTGAAAAATTTCAGCTTCTCTCGGACAACCGACTCACCCAGTTCTTCATCGGTCATGGGAAGATAATGGTCCACAATCTCTTCAGATTTTCCAAGGGCCGCTTCCAAGTTGCTGGACACCATCTGTGCCACGGAAGACTCCATCACGGTGTTGACGCTGCTGGAAACCGCGGAGCGGGTCATCTCCACACCACTCTGGACAGCCGAGCGGGTTATGTCCACGCCGCCCTGGACTACTTCCTTGGTTTTGTCCACCATGCCACTGACGGTGGAACTCACCGCCTCCTTAGCCCCGGTCACCAGGTCTTTTGTGTCTGAAATGATCTGAAAGAAGGACAGAATAAGCAAGAGTTGGAAGGAACTTTGGAGGCCCTTCTAGTCCAGGGGTCGCCAAACTTTGGGACCTCAGGGACCACCAAACTCATAATTTTACATCCCGCGGACCAGACACCCTGGGAAAAATCCCCCAAAAAGTCTGCAGGAAAATCCCCCATCCTGTTTTCCTACCGATCAATCATTCTTTGTTTGGGATCGCAGGATACCAGCTCCAGCTCCATTCTCAGGGGGGGAGAGAGAGAGACTTTTGGCTTCATGCAAGGAAAGCAGCAGAAGCAGCAGAAGTCTTTCTTTCTCTCCCCCAAACTCCACCAGAAATGAATCTTTGTGAGACTTGTCATACCGGCGCAGCCTCTTGGAGCAGGAGGCCTTGCAGGGTCCCAAAGACTCATTTCTGGTGGAGTTTGGGGGAGAGAAAGAAAGACTTTTGCTGCTTTCCTTGCGTGCAGCCAAAAGCAGAAGAAGAAAGAAGCGGAAAGAAGCAGCCCGGTGGCCAGGCCAGGCACGTGGGGTAAGTGGGGCAAGTTCCCCCCCTCCGCCCTTTTCCCCCTCCCCTCACTACCTCTTATGCAACGCAAACCTTGTGTTCCCGCAAGCCATGTGAGCGGCGCAGCCTTGTCTTCCTGCGCAGCTGGGATTAATTGCTTTGGGCGTGTGTGTGTGTGACATATAATCTCAAGCAATCTTAGAAAATGCTTCAGCGTCCCAGTAAACCAATTTCCATCTTCAAACTCCCAATAAAGTGGAATCTTGGCCCCTTTAAGATGGGTGGACTTCAACTCCCAGAATTCCCCAGACAGCATGGCTGGTTGGGGAATTCTGGGAGTTGAAGTCCATCCATCTTAAAGGAGCCAAGGATGAAACATACTACTTTATATTATCTACTAGCTGGATATCCCGTGCTTCACTACGAAACTATGTAATAGGGCTTAGTTTTTGAGGAGGAAAATAAGGAGAAAAAATTTCTGCCTCTGCCTACCAGTATCCATCGGTATTCATCTGGCTAGTGTCCTGTCAGTGTGAGGGAATTGAGGGCTGTTTGGAAACTGAAACAGTATTTGCCATGTGAGCAAGGAGACAGCAAGGAGCCTGGGCATGGCTTAGGTCAACTGTTCTGTATTAAAGCTGCTTGGTGCTGCTGTGAAAGTAAAACTGAAACTGAAACTGAACCTCCTCTCCTCTGCTTGTGTTTTGCATTTGGAAGAGATTTCTTTTCAGGTGCCCTCCTTAGCATCAGAGCATGTTAATAATAATAATGTAGGAAGTACTAACGCTCTGATGGTCATTTCGAAAAATCCTTTCTTAGTGAGCAGCTAGAAGCCAAGAGGAACATACGTGCCAAATGTCAAGTTTGTAGGCTTTACGGTTCTGGAGATTTTGTGATGATGCGTGAGGGGTATTTCGTTTTTATATAGATTCATTTTAGATAGATAGATAGAGATAGAGAGATAGATAGAGATTAGAGATTAGAGATATAGAGATGTAGAGATAGAGATATATAGAGAGATATAGAGATATAGAGAGATAGAGATAGAGATATATAGATATATATATAGAAATATAGATATTTGTTTTCTTAAGCTTTCGTGGGTACTTACATGTATGGCATTCAGCTTTGTTCGGGTATTTTCCCACGTCATTATAGTTGTGCTTTTAAAGTTGTAGCAACGTTTCGGCAGAATCTCATCTGCCATCATCAGGCTTCTGTATTGTGTTCATATAAAATATTGTGTTCGAATATTCTGTCGAAACGTTGCTACAACTTTAAAAGCACAACTATAATGATGTGGGAAAAATACCCGAACAAAGCTGAATACCATACATACATACATACAGATAGATAGATAGATAGATATAGATATATAGAGATATAGATATAGATATAAATATATAGAGATATATCTCCACCCATCACAGTTTAAGTTTTTCAGATCAGTCCTCGGCTGGCAGAACCTGAGTCTAGGCAGACACTGAACTGATGGAATTTCATTTAAAAAATTCCCTTGTAAATCTCTACCTATAACTTCTCTGTGAAAAACAGTGTTTTCCAAATGCAGCTATTGCACTGATGCAGCAGGCAGAATTTTTTTTTTTTTTTGAAGCATGAATCAATCTTTTGACTGGATGCATTTTTGATCTTCAAATCTTAATTTGTATAGCCTGGAAGGAAGGAATGTTTTCATTACCTTATCTGTGGGTTGTTGAAGGATTGGCAATTTCTCTTCCAGCTTGTCCAAACCTTTCAAGGCGTATTCATTGGCTGTGGAAACTGGAGAAGAAGAAAAGGTTAGCTTGTCCCTGAAGGTAAAAAAAAAAAAGTCAAAATGGTGGCCATTCACCATGCATTCAAGCCCCTCTAACAGATAACAGATAATCAGAGTTGGAAGGGACCTTGTAGGTCATCTAGTCCAATCCCCCGCCCAAGCAGGAGACCCTATGTCATTTCTGATACTCTACACAGAGGGTCTTCAAACTTGGTAAGTGTAAGACTTGTGGGCTTCAACTCCCAGAATTCCTGAGCTAACCTGACTGGAGGAGGAATTCTGGGAGTTGAAGTCCACAAGCCTTAAAGCTGTCAAGTTTGAAGGCCCCTGCTCTACACTCTACTTTTTTCATGGGTAATGATATGCATATGATTGATCACAGAACCACGGCGTCAATGGGAGGGGGAAGGCAGATTCACTTAGCAACCATGTGATTTGCTTAACAACTGCAGTGATTCACTGAAGCGTGGCAAAAAAGTCACAAAACGGAGCCAAACTCACTTAACAACTTGTTTTGCGGTTGTTGTTAAGCAGATCTGCCTTCCCTCATCTGACTTTGCTTATCCAAAGCCAGCTGGGAAGGTTACAAACGGTGATTCCAGGAAACCATCATAAATACGAGCCAGTTGCCAAGCACCCAAATTTTGACCAGGTGACTGATCGTCGGAGCTACCGGTTCAGTCAAACTGGGCTGAACCGGTAGAATACCACCACGGAAATGGTCTCAACAACTCTCAGAAAGAGTGCCAACGACCAGATGACTGCAAGGAGTATAAATCCTTCCATCCCTTCACCATTCAGTCAGAACTGAGGAAGTTTCTTGGATGAGAAGTGAAATGTCTTCAAAAAAAACAAAGAAAGTTCAGTTGCCTTTTGGGGAAAAAAGCACTTTTGGGACAGCAAAGCAGAAAGAGAACGCAGTTTCGTTTAGCGCAGTTTGGGTTATTGTACTCACTCTGTGGCTCCAGTTTGTTGAGGATGGGCTGGGCGCCGCTGACCGCCACCGAAGCAATGGTCTTCACTCCCTTCTCTGCCATGTCACAGACTGATTTCATGTAGGGATGGCTCTCTTTTGTAGAGGTATATGCTGCCGAGACCATGTCGTAGGCAGAGCTGACCAGCGGCAGGCTGGCTACCCTACCAGCTACATTCTGGCAAAGGGAAGAAACAGAAAACAGCGACAACCATGAGGACTAGCCACTGATCATTACGGCCTTACGTCGTGACAGGAGTAAAGCAGGCCATCATTTGACTAACCCAATTTTACAATCTTTTGAATGTGGTGTATTTATGAAGGCCATTAAGTGAATTTTTCCCAAGGGGTGGGTGGGTTTTCTTGCCTGTAATTGAAAGCAAACATTGGAAATCAACAAAAATAAATAAATAAATTGCAAAATTGTGTTCATGGGACCCTGAAAAAGGTGTGGAAACTACATGTCTGCAGGGTGTACAGCCGTTGTAACTTGAAAACAGGGTTATAAGTGGCCTTTGGGAGCATTTGATTGACGTGATAATACAGAAGTAAAACAAGAGATAATTTGAAGGGAATACTGATAGATGGACCAACTTTGTGGGGTGAGTGGACTTCAACTCCCAGAATTCCCCAGCCCGGGGGAAGGAGGGGGGGAGTCCATCCCAACTTTGCATGGTCATTAAACAACCAGTCGTAAGTTGAGGACTGTCAGTACAGATAGTCCTCAACTTACAACAGTTTGTTTACATTGGCATTGAAAAATGGGACCTATGACCGTTTTTCATAGTTACGACCTTGGCAGCATTCCCGTGTTCATGTAATAAAAATTCGGATGTTTGGCAACCGATTCATATGTATGATGGTCGCAGGGCCCCGGGGGCCACGCAATCCCCTTTTGCGACCTTCTGACAAAGCCAAGTCAACAGAGAAGCTGGATTCGCTTAACGACCGGGGTTTTATCAACTGCGGCGATTCACCCAACATCTGTGGCAAGCAAGATAATAAAATGGAGCAAAGGTCACTGCACCAACGTCTCACTTAGCAACAGAAAATTTGGAGCTCAATTGTGGTCGTAAGTCAAGGACTAGCTGTGTTCTCTTTAAATTCTCCCCATTTTATTTCTGTTACCATCACAACTCCATCAAATGCCTTTTTCTTGTTGCCAAGGGGCTTATAAATGGCATAAGTAGATTAAAAAAAATATGTGTCAGGATTCCGGCAATTACCCCAATTAAGACATGAGCCTCCAGCCAAACTTCCAAAACTACACAGGATTTATTGGGAGTTAACATGTCGGCACAACCTGGGTGTAGCCAACTGTCATGCCCTTGATAGAAACCCCTTTCCTTCCTCCCTTTCTGTTGGCAACTTTTAAAACGGCCACACAAATGTCTTATGAGTTGACAAAACGTGGAACAAATTAGCAGCTATGGGCAGCACAACCTAGTATTTACAAGCGCCAGCAAGGAAAGAAATGTGTGTTTGTGTGTGTGTGTGTTTGTGTGTGCGGCCATGTTCAGGAGAGTCACCACAATGAGAGATTAGAGCTGGCACCCAGCGGGCTGGATCCTAAAGCCCTTCCCCCTGGCATCTTGCCCTGCAGAGCTCAGAAACGAAACCCTGGCATCTTGTCCTTGACAAAACCACCCAAGGAAAATGACCCTCGTTCCAGAGAATTCATTTTTTCCGAGGGTTGCGCAACTGTCTTTGCAAAAGTCAGAAGGCGACACAGCCATTGCTCGCTCTCGAAATAGATCCAGGGTTTTGTCATTATCTCAGCTCTGGGCAAACTCTACGCCAACTTGGCCCAGCTTCAAACCTGTTTGGCAACGAATCTCAAACCATGAACCGCGGTGGCGTAGTGGTTAAGAGCGCAGTACGGCAGGCTACTTTTGCTGACTGCCTGCAGTTTGGGCAGTTCGAATCTCCCCAGGCTCAAAGGTCGACTCAGCCTTCCGTCCTTCCGAGGTGGGTAAAATGAGGATCCAGATTGTTGGGAGCAAGAGGCTGACTGTAAAATCACTAAAAGAGGGCTGTAAAACAGGATATAAGTCTCTTCCTTCTTTTTCTTCCTTCCTTCCCTTCCTTTTCTTTCTTTCTTCCTTTCCTCCTTCCTTGCTTCCCTTTTTTCCTTCCCTTTCTTTCCTTCTCCCCTTCTTTCTTTCTTCCCTTTCTTTTTCTCTTTTTCTTTCCTTCCCTTCTTCCTTTTCTTCCTTCCTTCCTTTTCTTTCTTCCTTTCCTCCTTCCTTTTCTTTCTTCCTTCCCTCCTTCCTTTCTTGCTTCCCTTTTTTCCTTCCCTTTCTTTCCTTCTCCCCTTCTCTTTCTTCCCTTTTTCTCTTTTTCTTTCCTTCCCTCCTTCCTTTCCTTCCTTCCTTCCTTTCCTTTCTTCCTTTCCTCCTTCCTTTTCTTTCTTCTCTTTTTCTTCTTTCCTTTTCTTTCTTTCTTCCTTCCTTCCTTCCATTCCCTTCTTTCTTCCCTTTTCTTCCACTTTCTTTTACTTTCACTTTCCTTCCTTCCTTCCTTCTCTTTCTTTCTCTCTTTCTCTCTTCCTTCCTTCCTTTTCTTCCTTCCATCCATCCATCCATAAACTATTTCTCCCTCAAGAGCCCTGGTGGGACAGGGGTTAGAATGCAGCATTGCAGGCTGACTCTGCCCACTGCCAGCAGTTTGGTTGAAGGTTGCCTTCCATCCTTCCGAGGTGGGTTAAATGAGGATCCAGATTGTTGGGGGCCATAGGCTGACTCTGTAAACCGCTTAGAGAGGGCTCTAAAAGCGTGGTGAAGTGGTATATAAGTCTAACTGCTATTGCTATGTTGCTCCAAAGGAAAAATCAGCAGACGTGATCAGTAATTGGCTGCTGGGACATTGTAGCTAGTCCTTGACTTACAATTATTCCTTTAGTGACCGCTCAAAGGTACAATGGCCCTGGGGAAAAAAAGTGACTTATGACCCAGTCCTCACACTTACGACCGTCATAGCATTCCCTACGGTCACATGATTGAAATTCAGGTGCTTGGCAACTGGCAGGTGGTTTAGGGTGGCTGCAGGCTCCCAGGTTTAGGTGATTCTCATTTGTGACCTTCCCAGCTGGCTTCTGACAAAACAAAAGCGATGTGGGGGGGGGGCTAGATTTGCTTAAGGACTGTGTGATTCGCTTAACAACTGCACTGATTTGGCTCAACGACTGTGATGAAAGGATGGTAAAAATGGGTCGTGACTCATTTAGCAACTGAATTGTGGTTGTAAATTGAGGAATGGCTCCCCCTTGTGCCTCTCGGGCCTCTAGAGCAGTGATTTTCAAATTTGGCAGCTTTGAGATTTGAGGACTTCAACTCCCAGAATTTCCCAGCGAGCATGCATGGCTGGGGAATTCTGGGAGCCAAAATCCGCAACAAAAGAAAATTTTGGTGGTCCGCAGAGAAATGTGTCCCCCCCCTCAGCATCCCCTCCCCCAATTAATCCAGGCTGTGCGGGAACACAAGGTTGCACGGCTCACATGGCCCACAGGAACCCTCCCGGCCCACTCACTCCTTCCCTGGCAAACTTGCCTGCTAAGTTGCTATTTTTCCTTTTTTGTGACCATCAGTTGTTCTGCTGTGCCGGGAGATTTAGATTAGCTAGAAAGCAGGAAACCATTGGATTTCTTGCTTTCTAGCTAATAGCTCTACTTTTAAGCAGAGCCAAACCTTCCTTAGGACTGAAGCAGTGCAGACTCAGCTAGCTGATGGCAGAAACACAGATCTCTTAAGTAAATCTGTAATTCTGTGAGCAACTCAATCTGCCTGCCTGCTTTGCCTGATTAGGGTAAAAGGGTAAAAGTTGCTCTTTTTTATAAAAAAAAAATTCAATATTTATATAAATATATTTACATACAAACCATGCCCAGCCAGTCACATGACCACCAAGCCACACCCACAAATTAGGCCACACCCACAGAACCAGTTAGTGGTCCCCGGGATTTAAAATTATGAGTTTGGTGGTCCCTGAGGTCCAAAAGGTTGGTGACCCCTGGATTAAGGGACTGGAGACTAAAGCATATAAAGAACCGTTGCTGGAATTGGGCATGTCTAGTTTAATGAAAAGGAGGACTAGGGTTGACATGATAGCAGCATTCCAGTATTTGAGGGGCTGCCCCAAAGAAGAGGGAGTCAAGCTATTCTCCAAAGCACTTCAAGGCAGGACAAGAAGCAACGGATGGAAACTAACCCAGGGGAGAGGCAACCTAGAACTAAATATAACTAAAATATTTACAGACCCCTCACATCCTGGACATAAACTGTTTCAACTCCTTCCCTCAAAATGACGCTATAGAGCCCTGCACACCAGAACAACTAGACATAAGGACAGTTTTTTCCCAAAAGCCATCACTCTGCTAACCAATTAATTCCCTCAACACTGTCCAACTATTTACAAAGTCTGCACTACTATTACTATTAATCTTCTCATCACTCTTATCACCCATCCCCTCCCACTTGTGACTGTATGACTGTAACTTTGTCGCTTGTATCCTTACGATTTATATGGACTGTTTCCTAGTATGATTTGATTGCTTATTTATACCCTATGACTATTATTAAGCGTACCTGATGATTCTTGACTCTTGACGAATGTATCTTTTCTTTTATGTACACCGGGAGCATTTGCACTGAAGACAAATTCTTTGTGTGTCCAATCACACTTGGCCAATAAAAGAATTCTATTCTATTCTATTCTATTCTATTCTATTCTATTCTATTCTATTCTATTCTATTCTATTCAGAAACTTCCCAACAGTGAGAACAATTAACCGGTGGAACGACCTGCCACCAGAAGTTCTGAGTTCTCCAACATTGGAGGTTTTAAAGAAGACTGGACAGCCATTTGTGTGAAATGGTATAGACAGTCTCCTGCTTGAGGAGGGGGCTGGATTAGATGACCTCCAAGGTGCCTTCTAACTCTGACATTCTATTTTCTCTACTCTATTTTCTCTTTTTTCTATCTATAATTTCCAAATATCTCCATACCTCACTTATTTTCTGCTCGGTTTCTTCCGCCGCTGGACCGGTGGTAGATTGGGCAGCCACTGGATCGGTGGTGGATTGGGCGGCCGCTGGGCCGGTGGTGGATTGGGTGACATCGAGATTCTTGGTGGAAGCCATAACCAGTCGAGGTGCAGCTACAAAGGAAGAAAGTTCGGATTACGCTCCAGGTTTTATCTAGATGAACCCGAGTTCATCTAGATAAATTCCAGAGAGATAAAGAGACAGGCATGTAATTCTCCCAGAAGGTTGCCCAGAGAACAAAGGATCAAGGGTGGGATTATCTACACAACCCATTTACAAGTCCCAAGGTGAGGAAGGTGGAAGGCAATGGACACTCCTTATTCACCCTGGACTTTGCTTCCCTATCTCTACGTTAGACCCAAAGCTTCAGAAATTCACAGCACCTCCCAAATGACTTGAGATGATCTCCAGTGCCAGGTAAAGCTTCCCTCACACATACGTGCTAGTCGTTTCTGGCTCTAGTGGGCGGTGCTCCTCCCCGTTACAAAGCCAAAGAAGAGCCAGCGCTGTCCGAAGACGCCTCCGTGGTCATGTGGCCGGCATGACTAAACGCCGAAGGTGCACGGAAAGCTGTTACCTTCCCACCCAAGGGGTCCCTGTTTTTCTAGTTGCATTCTTTACATGCTTTCGAACTGCTAGGTTGGCAGAAGCTGAGACCAAAAAGCCAGTGCAATCCTAAGTTGCATTAACAGAGGGATACAATTGAGATCAACGGAGGTACTAATACCACTCTATAAAGCCTTAGTAAGACCACACCTAGAGTCCTGCATCCAGTTTTGTTCACCACGTTATAAAAAAGATATGGAGGCTCTAGAAAAAGTGCAGAGAAGAGCAACCAGGATGATGAGGGGACTGGAGGCTAAAACAATATGAAGAACGGTTGCAGGAACTGGGCCTGGCTAGTCTAGGGAAGAGAAGGACCAGGGGAGACATGATAGCAGTCTTCCAATATTCGAGGGGCTGCCACAGAGAGGAGAAGGGGTTCAACCTATTCTCTAAAACACCAGAAGGCCAGACAAGGAATAATGGATGGAAACTGAACAAGGAGAGATTTAACCTGGAAATAAGGAGAAACTTTCTGACAGGGAGAACAATCAACCCATGGAGCAGGAGTTGCCTTCAGAAGTTGTGGGAGCACCATCACTTGAGACTTTCAAGAACAGATTGGACTGCCATCTGTCAGAAATGGTGTAGGGTCTCCCGCTTGGGCAGGGGGTTGGACTAGATGACTTACAAGGTCCCTTCCAACTCTGATTATCTATTAAGTAATGGGAGCTCACTCTGTGATGCGGCGCCAGGGATTCAAACCGCTGAACTGCTGACCTTTCTGATCGACAAGCTCAGCGTCTTCGCCACTGGGTCACCGCTAGGCAGAGTCTATCTTCATTTTTCCTTAAATGTGAGATTAACGGTCTTAAAACTAAGACATTTAAAAATATCAAAGATTAAAAGGGAACAGCGTTGTATGCTGTGGAAGACAGCAGGGAAGGGGAAAGACAGGTAGTCCCCGACTTACAACAGTTCCTATAGTGACCGTTTGAAGTTACAACGGCACTGGAAAAAAAGTGGACGTAGGGAACAGTTTTTCACACTTATGACCATTTGCAGCATCCCCATGGTTGCGGGATCAGAATTCAGATGCTTGGCAACGGACTCGTATTTATGATGGTTGTGGTGCGCTCTCTCTCTCTCTCTCTCTCTCTCTCTCTCTCTCTCTCTCTCTCTCTGTGTGTGTGTGTGTGTCTCTGTCACTCACACTCACTCACACTCACTCACACACACACACACACACGGAATCAATATGAAACTGAAGATAAAAACAGGATTGGAAGGCAAAGGGGAAATCATGCCCAGACATAGAAACAGAATAGTGTAGTTTGCAAATATGGGGATATTCTGAGAGCAAACTGCACTCCCCCCCTCCCCAGCACGGACGATGTTCCCTAGTTGGGTAATGAAACTTCTGCAAGCTCTGAGAGCAGCGAGGACCCCCACAAACAACAGCTTGACCAGCAATCTGTGAAACTTGGCCTTCCAAGCGGAGTCCAAAAGGAAGCATAATTAAAAACCCAACACCCAGAGAGAAGCAGGGATTAAGCCTAGACAAACAGCCAGGAAGAAAGCAGTAGCTTAAATCAAGAAACTGCCAAGGGAGAAAAATCACATTCCACCAACACTGGCAGGACCAGCTGCTATACATAAATAACAGCAAATTCCATTCCCTTCTAGCACTGAAGATGTTACCT